TCATGAAACTCACCCTTTTCCTTGCTTCTCACTCTCAGGAATTAAATCACTCAAGCAAAGAGATGGCCAGCCCATACTCTGGGTACCGCTTTAGCTAGAAAACAGTTTCGTGCTTAGTCCTGGGCCTTGGAGTCTAACAGCCAGGGTTGAAATCTTGGCTTCCTCACTTATGACTGATGAACTGAAGCTGTTTCTCCACGTGAAAAATGGGGATATACCTACTTCATAAGGTTATTGAAGATTACGTGAGATAATCCAGTTCAAGTGCTCAGCACAACATCTGGAGCATGTGCAGGGCTCCATATATGGCAACATGTGCTATCTACTCTGACTCTCCCCTACTCCACGCCACCAGCCCCTTTTTTTAGCTATGTTTTCTTGCACAGCTTCGGTGTCTTCCATTTGATTGTGTGAAGTCGTTGTCACAAGCTTTGAATAGTTGGCCTCTACTTTTTCCTCTCTTTGGCTTGCTGTTTCCATATATTGATCTCAGGTTTGGGTCTTAAATTAGACCCTGCACTCTGAGGCCTCACTGCTGGGCAGTGCCTTCCTTTGCTCCATTTTTCCTTCTGTCTCAAGTGCCAAATTGGATTTTGGTCTATGTGTTCTATACTCCTGATCCAGATTTAGCTAGCAGACCAGTTTATAATTGAAAAACTACAAGTTTTGGTCATGTAGACCTTGAGTTTACGTTCTGCCTCTCATCAGCTGTGTGATTTCAGGTAAGTTACTTGCATCTCTGAGGTCGAGTATCCATTTTTCTCATTGCTAATGGAGGGACTATGGTAATCACCTCCAGGGACAATTAAGAGGATCAAATGTCAGCGATCTATGTGAAGCTCCTAGCAGACGGTAAGACACATGATAAATGTTTCTCTCTCCTTATTCTTTCATAAGTCATCATTGTAAATGGTTTGTTTCCCTTCCTCCCATGACCATCCTGTCTTCTATTTATATTAGTGAGACGTGCTAACATGCAGATTGATGCATAAAATACTACTTAATTCAGGACGGACCCCTTATTGGAATTCGTGACCATTCTATCAGGGCCCAGGCTGAAATTTACCTTGTCAGTTTAAACTTACGGATGAGACATGGGGAGGCCAAGGTGGAAAGGAGGAGTGGCATGGTCTCACCCACTTGGCACCCAGGGCTACTTTCACGAGGTGCATGAAACTGGTTTTGCTTTATTATTAAGCAAATAGATGACAAAATGGGGTATGTCATGAGGGCTATTGCGTTTATCAAAAAAAAAAAAAAAAAAGACCCTTCTCATGTCTTATGGCCTCCAGATGGACATTTTTTCGGGGAAACAAAGTTTTCTGAGTATAAATATTGCACAAACTCCACAGACTTGGTAATTGTACAAAAGCCATTTGTTTCCAGGTGTGTCAAATACCACTCTTGCAACAGCCCAATTATATGAAGTTCACATTTCCTCATTTAAGTTTTGAGCTAAACATTGAGTTTGTCACTAATTTTACATAAGCCTTCCGTGGTTGACTGCAAAGGAAAGAATAAGCATGGAATCTCTTCCACAAATCTCTAAAATTTTTAATTTTCTGAATGGGTAACAGAGAGGATAGTATTGGGAGAAATGAAGGTTAGAATTAAAATTTAGCCCAATGTAAACATAGTTTTGATGTGTGTCTCACAGATCCCAGACTTCTTAAGAGGGAAAAAAGAAATGCATTTGAAAACATAAAGCAAGCCTTCAGTGTCATCTCCCAGGAGCTCTCCTTTACGTACTTACTCTGCCTTTCCCATGCGCCTTGTGACCTCCAGCCTCTGCCCTTGACAGATGCTGCTTGTTCCCCTTTAGAAGGGCCCTGGATGGAAGGAGAGGAAATTGGAAGTGGAGGGCCCCATCCTCGTCTCCCACTTACAGAGCTGTACTGTGTTAGGAAAATGATGACTCCTATGGGACTTGGTTTTCTTATCTGTAAACTGGGAAGAATAATACCCAATTTACCTGGGCTGTTTTCAGGATTAAAGTAAATCCTCAATACCTCAGGATCTATAGTACAGAATAGAACTCAGATACACCAGTGGTCAAATGGCTGTGGGAAATGTTGTATACTTTATATTAGTACTGTCAAATCTCTGAGGAGTTCTACAATACAAGAAACCCATTTAGTTCTTTATCTCTGTTGGGCAATGTTGAACCAGCAAGTACAAAATGATGAGTTCCCTTGCCATCTCCTTATTCTTGTCGTGTACCCTAAGTTCTCCACACAGAGTACACAGAGCAGGGGCTGATACCAGCACATGTGGGGCAGAAGGGCAGGGAGGAGAAATCATGCCCATCAGATGAGATCAACTCTGCAAAGATTCTAGCTCAAAATCATTCTAGAGCTCCAGCTGGTGATTCTAAAACTCATCTTTAAAGAAATATTTTTCCTCTGCCTAATGCCTTATGAATAATAGTAATAATAAATTTATTTGCAAGCAGGGTGAGAGTGGAAGAATTGAGGTAAAGAAAGCACTTTCAGTTGTAATTAGAATGCATCAGAAGGAGTTAAATTCCTCTTTTCAGTGAATAGAAAGGCAAAAAGTATGGTTTTCCTGGTAAAGTGTTAGAGATAGGAACTTTTTTTTTCCCAAGTGGTAAGAACAGCAATGAAGAAAAGAAAATGCCTTGGAAAATGAATACAGAGACAGAAAGCGAACACCAAGCAAAGGACTGATTGTGGTGTCCTGAGCAAATAAATAAAGGACTGAACGATGAATAAGTAGAAAACCACAGGAGAGAGAATAAAGGACTTTGGTATTGTTTTTTTTTTTTTGTACATGAAGATGATTCCTTTTTTCCAATCACACAGCCAAATTAGAAAAATTGATAACCAAACATTGTATTTGTTTTCACATTCATGGCATCAGTTCAATTTGTCATTAATTACATGGGCAAATTAGGAAATGCCTGTTTTAAGAAACTGCTCTAAAAATACCTTTGTAAAATCAGGTTAGAGATACATGCCCTGAGGACAGCAGGAAGCAAAAGGGAAAATATGAAATTAGAAAGTGACCTGTAATAGTCACTTCACTGGTAAAGGTGACATAACCTCCATTATCAGCTAGGACCTAGTTTGATGTCTAATTTCACTGGCTATCTAACTTATCGAATTAAATTAAGTACAAATGAGGAAATACTTGGCTAGGGAAAAGGTACTATACCATTTTGCTTTCTATCAACTGAAAGCCAACCCAATTAGCACAGAAGAGGAAAACTAAGCCCAAATATTTTATTGGAGGAGGAAATTAAAAGAGATTTCCCCCCCTAAACTAGCCTGGCAAAAGGTAGTTCACAAAAACACTTGGATTCACTGGTGCTTGCTATATATCCAGAAGAGAGAAATGGTTGTTTTCGTTCATTTATGTTTGAGTGCCGATTTTGCGCCAGGTTCAAATCATTGCTTTCTAGGATAAACGGTGCCTTCTCCCTGCTCTGGACCTAATACTGCAATGTCACTCCCCTTTCACTGCTCGCAGATTTAGCAGGAGAGTTGTTAGAAGATCCACCATTCTTTGTAGATATTTGAAGACAAGAATTCCCTGACAGGAACCATCCCGGCCCCCAGGTTGCATCCCATGTACCTCCGATTCTGTGTTTCCCACATGCACTTGGCAATGCCAACAATGCAGAACCCTTCCTGACCCCCTGGTCTGTCCTTGAGCTAAAATTGGTCCTGAGTAAATGGGAACTTGAGGATCAAGTGCATTTTTGAAGCAGGGGCACCGGAGGTTGTTGAGAACTGTAAAAGATGAGCTCTGCGTGGGAATGTGGAAGGCTGCTGGATCCAGAGCAACAGGTAAGAGTGCAGAGTTCTCAGCGTGAAGGAGGGTCTGACCTGGGCAAGTTACAGATCTTTCTGGGCCTAAGTTTTTCTCGCCAACAAATGAAGACTTTGGGAAGAGATGCTTCCAGCTCAGATAATCGTCGTTTCTCTGCTACAGCTTCAGCATTTTAAATTCTTTCTTTCCCCTTAGAAATGGGAAAGGAAGTGATGATCTTTTTGTCTAAGTGATTCATGAAACAAGGAATTTTACAAAGAAAGAAACTCTTCCACCTGCCTCACCTGCACTTTCTTTCAGCTCCCTTTTCCTTGCTTTTGCTCAGCTGGCACCTGCTTGCTCTCAGTCCCTTTTTACAATCTCATCGTTTCTGGTGTGACACCATATCCCTGGCAGTGGGTGCCATCTGGTAGAGCCTTTCTTTATTTTTCTGCTTTATCAATCCGCATTTTCAAATAGGTCTTTTCTCTTTTAACTGTATCTTTAGCCACCCCCACCACACACACACACACACACACACACACTTTGTGGAACTGGCCTCCTACCTAAATCTAGCTCCTTCTGTTTTAAATTTCACACACACATTTCCTGGGAAACACTTAATTCTGCAAAACTGGCTATATATATTATTTGGATGAGACATGCCAATTGTAAAGAAGTCGTTCTGATTTCTATTAATCATTTACTTGTCTCAGCAGATATCTCTACACTGATATATGGAGTAATATGGATCTAAGCATATAGACAGCTGTTAAAAAACAACATGTAATACATTTTGGAATACTACATAGCTCTATGATTTAGACTTTGATGGGAAGTATGGGTACTACTAAAAAGATATCAGATTTTAACAAAACTCTTACGGAAAAGGAATGTGACATATGCCATGTATGTGTGTATGTATGTATCTATATTTTGCCTTGTTTAGTTATGCATGGGATACAGTAATATACCTTTTTTCTTCATATCAACTTTTCCCTCCATTAAGTTCTGGTCAGTAATATTTAAAATACAGAAATCCTGTTCATTAAAAGATCTTCATTAAAATAGATATTTCTTCCCTTAGAGAAAGAATTCAAAACTTTTTAGGGCCTAATTTTAAAAAGCAAGATTCCGTAGCTGATTTATTTTAGTGGTTGTTTTTAGGGATGTGAAAACTATCACCACTGCAACTAGCAAGAAGTATAAATGATACATTATTGCAAGTGTTCTAAAAAATCAGAACAAAACTAATTTATTGTAGTTCTGTCTTCATTATACACCACATGTTGGTGAGTTAAACACAACAAAATTATTGTCTTTTCTTTTAAAAGTGTCTACTAAAGATAAAAAGAATAAGGTAACAATTAACATGTAGGTTGTTACATTAAAAAATCTGATATACATATTTCTATTGCCTGTTAGCTTGTTCTAAGCCTCTTTAACTATTACAAAAAAAGAAAAGTCATTGTTCAAAGGCAAACCTTCAATTCAGTTGATACAACATTACAGTACAGTCAACTAACATCATTCAACAAGGTAACAAGTCTAGCCTTAGCTTCTTGAGTTAAAAGTCTGTAGACCAGATTGCTACAAAAGGTTCAATGCTGCTTCACAACTGTCGGTTAGCTTTTTGGAGGACACGGTATTTTCTAGTGATGGCTTCAGAAGTAGGGGTCATGCTACTGGTAAAAGCGCAGGGGAACCCCAACCTGTCATTAATCATTTTATTGAGCATTGTAGTTAGAACAGCATTATTGAGTTTAGCACAACAACTAAAACAAAATAATAATAATAATATAATAATAATAATCATAATAATGATAAGAATAAAAACCAAACACAAACTGGAAGCCTAGAGATGCTGCCAGTCGTGTCAAACCCTTGCGATACGCTATACTAAAAAAATTTGAAATATCCACCCGTCCTCTCCACTCTGCCACAAACTAGCAAAGTCAAAAATACAAAAGTCTTCAACTTGTTACTTTTGCAGAATAAAGCAAAAACGTCTTTGTGCTCCTTACTACCAGAAGCAAAATATCCACTGAGTTACCACATGTAATAGCTTCTGGATGTGTCAACCTGGGTTGGCTTGGTGTCTGCAGAACCATCTTTGTCTTTCTCGCTGTCACCTTCCCAGAGGTTAATGAGTGGTGGGTATAGCTCATTTAGTGGGATCGAAGAGGTCTTTTGCATATACTTTTTTAATGAATGGTGGTAGTTTTTTCTCTTAAATCTTTTGGCAATGTACACAGCAATGGACGCAAGGCTAATGACGGCAAACATGGACCCCATTACTGCAGCAAGGGCTGTACTGGTTTCTTGATCAGAAATGTCCAGTGCGAAGGCAGCATTTTTGGTTGTGACATTAACACATGACTTTTGAGTCTGCTGATGAATATTGGACACTGTGAGACACACTTCGTAATCTGTGGAAGGTTGCAGATGTGTTAGGTTGTACTCATGAACATCTACTGGGACCCTGGCAGTATATGTTATGTGGGGGTTGTCAACCTTCATGGTGGCAGATGACCATTTCAAGTTTGACGTCATGACATTGGAATTAACTTTCCAGGACACTAAAATGGAATGAGATTCTGTCTGTTTGACATATATTTTCAGCACCTGGGTACCATCTAGAAGGGTTCCATTAACCTTAATTGTCACCACGCGAGTGTCTGCCCCTTCGACATTCTGGGCAACACAGGTGTATCTTCCTGAGTCTTCAATTTGCATGTTCGATATTTCCAAGGTACCTTCACTACTTAGCTTGTATTTGTCTGAAAGGGTTTCCACAGTTATCTTATTTCCAAGGGGAGTGACCCAGTAAATTTCAGGTTCTGGCTCAGCCATGGCCCGACAGTCTAGGAAAACTGTTGTGCCAATATCCATGTTTAAATGATTTGGGAATGTGTCGTGAGAGATCATTGGGAGGCACTGTTCACTTGAATCCTGGATTAAAACTTCCTTTACCTGCTGCCCTCTATATTCGGGCGGCATGGCACAGAACATGGATAAGGGCTCCATGAAGCGGATGTTTGTCTTGTTGGAGTTAATCCAGTGGATGACACAATCACATCTCAGGGGGTTGCTGTGGATGCTGATCTCACGCAGATTGGGAAGGGATTCTACCGTCTTTTGGTAAACGGCATTCAAGGCATTGTTGTTCAACATCAAGCTTTCCAGGGCAGGAACACTTCGAAAAGCCAAGCGGTGGATGTAGGATAATTTGGGGTTATTGGTGGCTTCTAGCTTTGTGAGTTCAGGCAAGTTATCCAGGGCATAGCGGTCCACAGAGACGAGTTCCCCCATGTTGTTGATTCCCAGTTCTTTTAACCGAAGCATATTCTTGAAGTCCCCTTCTTGGATTTTGTGGATGGGGTTTTTGTTGAGGTCTAAGAATTTCAAATTTGGAACTTTTTGCAGAGCAAGTTGAGGGACTTTGATCAGTTTGTTATCATAAAAAGACAGACTCTCGAGGCTATCCAAGCCCACCAGGGCATTGCCAGGAATATCGGTGAGATACATTCCTGCCAAAACCAAGCTCCTCAAATTTGAGAGGGGTTTGAAGTTCATATCCAGAATTCCAATCACAGGATTTTCCCCAATCATGAGAATTTCCAGGTTGGGTGTTGAATCAAACCAGCGGCTATCAATAACTTTCAATTTGTTAGAGTTCAGGTGGAGCCTTAAAAGATTTTTTAAGCCTGAAAAAGCATTAGCAGAAATAGTGCTAATCTGGTTATGGTTGATGTAGAGTTCTTGAAGGTTGCTGAGATCTTGCAGACAGTAATCAGTCATTTCCGTAATCTGATTTTCCTCCAAGTGTAGAGTAGTGAGCTGGGTCAGGTTGGCCAGCCCTACCTCCTTAATATTTGTAAAGTTGTTCTGGGAGAAATCTAGCTCAGTCAAGTTGAAAAGCTGCTGCAGCTCATCCACGGTCTTGGCGATGTTATTGCTCTGTAGGAGAAGCACTTGTGTATCGCTGGACAGGTTGCTGGGAATCCTGGTTAAGCGGAGATCATTGCAATCAACGGTGGTGGCTTCTCTGTATGTTGACTGTGGGGTGAACCAGGGCCTAATTTCACACACGCAAAGTTGTGGGCACTCGCTGTTTTGTAGGGAAGACCCAGTTAATGAAGTCATTAGCAAGCCCAGCACCAACTGGCAAGCTGCTACAACAAAGCACATCCTAGCCATGCTGGCTTGCTGAGCAAGCTCGACCCCTGACACTCGTAAATTTTAACAAAAGGTGAACACTAAATAGTGCTATGTATGTAGCCCAGCAAGCAGAAAATGTAAACATTCAAGCGAAGTCTCTGTTGAGATGTGTAGAATTCCAGAGTCCGAAGGGATAGTCTTCTGGAGTTTTCAAAAGGCAATTTGGAGTCTTTCATCTGTGCCTCTCAATTCCAGGCATGCCCACGGCTCTGTGGTATAAGTTACTTCAGCCAAATCAAAGTCTGGAGATGTGCCTGAAAATCAGATTAGGACAGACAGTACGTTTATTCCACATACTTTCGACATTAAAGCCTTTCTTTTGTCTACTAAAAAGGCATAATCACTTACAAATCTAATAACAGAATGTTCAAAATAACTAAAAAAGCTTTTAAATTGCAGGGCACTTTTACTAGATTCCACTTACTGCCCTAAAACTGGTTACCACTTTTACAATTAAATTGGGACTGCTTGTATTATTGGGTAAAATCATCAAACACATACACACACTTAATAGGAATACTCAGAAAAACCCACAGATGCCATTTCTTTAAAAACAAAGGTGAAACCTCACTATTAGTACATACTTAGTATCTAAACTACATTAGAAACTACATTATATTTATGGTTCAAAAAAATCAAATGTCAAAAGCAAAACATGAAAGGCAGCTTTGGTTATTTTTATGGTCATATTTATTTATTTATATTTTAATTAACACCTCATTTGTTTTCAGCAAGTCTGCCTTTTCCAAATCGTACATTCTGTGGACATATTCAGCCAATGCTTTTCTAGCTCAATTATCCTTATGCAAAAAGTTAATTTAACACAACTACAAAAGGAAAATATCACTTTTTCTTATATTCTAATAGCCACATCTGATCTTAACCAAATAAAATAGTAAAAGGACTCTACTCTGTTATACCACTGATCTTCATTAAAAACACAAACATATTGGGGTTGGCTCGGTGCTGTAGTGGTTAAGTTCGCACACTCTGCTTCAGCGGCCCAGGGTTCACTGGTCCAGATTCTGGGCATGGACCTACACATTGCTTATCAAGCCACACTATGGTGGTGTCCCACATACAAAATAGAGGAAGATTGGCACAGATGTTAGCTCAGTGACAATCTTCCTCATCAAAAAAGATGAAACAACCCCCCCACCCCAAACACAAACATATTTATACTCAGATATATATCTCATATGTATAATTTCATCAGTCTCATGGGAATGTCACCGACCACTTAGTAGCTATAGACCATGGAGATATTGGATATGTTATTTAACCTCTTGAAGCCTCAGCTTCTTCAACTATAATATAGGGTCTGTCATAAAAGTACCTCTGTCTCATAAGATTAAAGAGAATTAAAGGAATCTATGTAAGGCTCTTAGTGTAGTGCCTGGAAGATATTAAAGCTTGTAGAAGTTAATTATATTTATTATCACCTTATTATATCTCATATCGATTTCAGTTTTAGCTAAATAGTGCTTGTTGGAGGACAAGTCAAAGAAGCAAAGCTGGGACATTTGATTTTATTTAGCCATCATCTACTGGTTTTAATAAGGTCTTCTAAGGTCAAATATGTATTGCTCACCTGCTTGTAAAGATAGTATTAGTAGTTAATGGTTCTAGTTTTCCAGATTCCACTCAGGTGTAAAAGCCATCATGGATCCAGAATCTGTCTTGCTTTCCCAAGACTAGTCCAGTCACTTGCTAAGGTATTAAAAATAGAGTGGTCTTTTTCGTTACACTTGTCTTTCTGTAATGAACTTCAGCTTTGAGTATTAAAGGAATTTAAGAGACTAGTGTTTTCTTTATCCTCAGAAGATTACTGTCGATTCAATAAAATAGAGCACGTAATGTGCCTGAAGCTTAGCACTCAACACATAGCAAGCTCTCAATTCCTATGAGCTGCTATTATCTTTTTACTTTGAAAAATAGTTATCCTAGTGATTGATGAAGAAGTATAACAATACAAATAGCCAGTCTTAAAAGTTCTATATTTGTCATATTTTGGTAGAAGGAAAGAAAAGTTCTAGATTTTTTTTGTGGTTGTTGGTTTACAAAATATGCAAGCCTAGATACTGGTTTAACAAGATGGAATTTAAAAAAATCATCCAATCCAGACCTGGCAAGTTGGAGGGAGGAGAAGGAAGTGAATGTATTGCATAATGCTGGGTAACTGCTATACTCTACGGGGAGGAACCACATTGGGATCCTCCCTAATCTGGTTACTTTGCCATGTATCATGTATGTGCAAAACTTTTCAATATTATAAAACTACCTGATTCTGACTTTTATCAGGAAATTCCATAAAAGGAAAACACGCCTCAGAGAATAACATTTTTCACAAATTATTACCTCCACAAATTTATTCCATGCTTTTTGTTTCCACGTAGAGTAATCCTAAAGCAGGTGCAAAGACCACAATAAATGTTCAGTTAAGGAAATTCCTGCCACAAAGGAATTTGAATTATTCCTTATTCATAATTCAAAACAGAAAACCAAAAGAATAAATCTACTTTTCATAATGCTGGGATGGAATTTCAACTAATTTTTATGTTTTGACTGAATTTAAAGAAACATAGCAAGAAGTAAAATATGCATTAAAGTTGTGTCAGCCTCCTAGAACAATCTGTTACCATTGAAAAATATCTTTTATGGGCCTACACTTTGAATAGTTTCATGAGTCATGCCTCCATTTTAGTTTAAATTATCTGATTTGAGATAACTGTATTTCAATAATCAAATTTCTCTTTGATACAAATACCTCTGTAAACAAACAAACAAACAAACAAACAAACCACACAAGCTCAGAATGTCAGATATCATATCAAACACAGAGGAAAGATATTTTCCTCTTCCAAACCTGCATTTGGCTCCTTTGGGAGCAGAGAATGAAATTTCCTTAACACGAAAGGAGGTGCTTAAAATGTTTCTATTTGTATACAATTCTAAATTCTCTTTAGTTTATTTCCCCTGCCTAATTTTTGAACACGACATTATATATAGAACAAAGCTTCATAGAGTTCTTAAGCCATTTTATACATTTAAAACATAAGTAATGTCTCAGGAGCTCTTAACTAACAGTGTTTAAAAGTAAATCCATTTTCACAAGAGAAGAAAACTACGGACCAATAGCCCTGATGAATATTGACGCAAAAATCCTCAACGAAATACTAGCAAACTGAACTCAACAGTGCATTAAAAGGATTATACACCATGACTAAGTTGGGTTTATACTAAGAATGCAAGCATGGTTCAATATATGAAAATCCATCAGTGTAATACATCATACTAACAGAATGAATGACAAAACCCACATGATCATCTCAGTTGGTGCAGAAAATGCATTTGACAAAATTCAACACCCCTTCATGATAAAACTAGGAATAAACGGAAATTAGGAATAAAGGAAACTGCCTCAACATAATAAAAGCCATATATGAAAAGCCTACTGCTAAAATCATATTCAATGGTGAAAGAGTATAAGCTTTTCCTTTACGATCAGGAACAGGGCAAGCATGATCACTCTTGCCACTTCTATTCAACTTAGTACTGGAAGTCCCAGCCAGAGCAATTAGACAAGAAAAAGAAATAAAAAGCATCCAATTGGAAAGGAAGAAGTAATACTGTCCATTTGCAGATGATATAATCTCATATGTAGGAAACACTAAAGATGCCATATAAAACCCCAAACTGTTAAAACTAATAAAAGATTTCAGCAAAGTTGTAAGACACAAAATAAACACATAAAAATCAGTTGTTTCTATACACTAAAAGTGACCAATCCTAAAACAAAATTTAGAAAATAATCTGACTTACAATAGCATCAAAAAGAATAAAATACTTAGGAATTAACTTAACAAGGAGGTGAAAAACACGTACATTGAAAATGACAAAACATTGCTAAAAGAAATAAAAGATACAAATAAATGGAAAGACATCCTATGTTTGTGGATCGGAAGACTTAACATTGTTAAAATGTCCATACTACCCAAAGTGATCTACAGATTCAATGCAATTACTATTAAAATCTCATGGCAATTTTTGCAGAAATAGAGAAAAAAAATCTTAAAATTCATATGGACTCTCAAGGGACCCAAAATAGCCAAAACGAAACAATCTTGGAAAAGAACTAAGTTGGAGGACTCACACTTCATGACTTCAAAACATACAACAACGCAGCAATAATCAAGATGGTGTGGTACTGGCATTAAGACAGACATATAGACCAATGGAAGAGAGACCCCAGAAGTAAACTCTTCTGTATATGATCAAATGATCTTTGACAAAAGTGCCAAGACTACACAATGAGGAAAGCATAGTCTCTTCAACAAATGGTGTTGGATATCCACAGATGAAAGAATGAAGTTTGACCCTTACCCTACACCATATGCAAAAATTAACTCAAAATGGTTAAAGACCTAAATGCAAGACTTAAAACTAGAAAATTCTTATAAGAAAATATAGGGGAAAAGCTTCAGAATATTGGATTTGGCATGATTTCTTGGATATGACACCAAAAGCACAGACAACAAAAGCAAAAATAGACCAATGGGACTAAACCAAACTTAAAAACTGCTGCATCTCAAAGGAAACAATCAACAGAGTGAAAAGACAATCTACAAAATGGGAGAAAATATTTGCAAATCAAAATCTGCTAAGGGGTTAATGTCCAGATTATATAAGGAACGCCTACAACTCTACAGCAACAACTACAACTCAACAAAAAAACAAATAACCTAATTTAAAAATAGGCAAAGGATTGGAATAGACAATTCTCCACAGAAGAGATACAAATGACCAATAAGTATATGAAAAGATGCTCAACATCCCTAACCCCAAGAGACATACAAATCAAAACCATGAAATATCACCTCACACACTTAAGGATGGCCACCATCAAAAAAAACAGGAAATAAGTGTTGGTGAGGATGTGGAGAAACTCGAACTCTTGTGCACTATTGGTGGGAATGTAAAAGGGTGAATCCCTTATGGAAAACAGTATGGAGGTTCCTCAAAAAGTTAAAAATAGAATTAACATAAGATCCAGCAATCCCACTTCTGGGTATATATCCAAAAGAATTCAGAGCAGGATCTTGAAGAGACATTTGCACACCAATGCTTACTGCGGCATGATTCACAATAGTCAAGAAATAGAAGCAACCCATATGTCCATTGATAGGTAAACAGAGAAAGAAAATATGGCATATACATAAGATGGAATGTTATGTAGCCTTAAAAAAGGAAATCATATCACAACTACAATATAGATGAACTTTAAGGACATTATACTAGATGAAATAACCCAGTCACAAAGGGACAAATATTGTATGATTCTACTCATATGAAGTATCTAAAATAGTCAAAATCATAGAAACGGAAAGTAGAACGGTGGTTGCCAAGGGTTGTGGGAAGGGGAGAGGAAGTATTAGTGTTTAATGGGTATAGTGTCAATTTCACAAGATGAAAAAGTTTGAGAGATCTGTTGCCCAACAATGTCAATATATTTATCACACTGAACTGCAAAATTAAAAAATGGAAGGTGGAAAATTTACTGTTTTTATATGATAATAAAAAAGTAAATCCATTATAATTCAGGCCAACTTTTATCACACACATACAAATTAATTATCTTAAATTCTGCAACAAATAAAAAATGACTGGCATAGATTTTTAAAAAGCGAAATTGCTCCGTTCTAGTGCTGACTGAACTAAGTAGGTCAAGTGTGAGAAGAAAATCTCCTGCTAATTACCAGAATGATGTTCCACAAACAAGCCTGGCAATTTAAAGAAACAATCTCTTAAATAACAAACCATGACTTCAAAGGCCCCACATTGGCAAGGGACGCATTTCAAAGGGCTCCACAAACAATTATATAATTACATTTGGTGCTTCTTTTTCCAATAAGAAGTGGAAAGCGTTTGGGACACTCTGATCTGAATATAAAATTCCAAAGGAAATGGAATGCATGGTCATCACCATCAGTGAATTGGCATTGACCCCCATTTTCCCATGGAATTATGTCAGATGGGATGTTAGTTTAAGAAAATCACAATATTCGGTAGGACTTCGGGCTAGGATCCCTATGCGCTAAGTTCTTAAGGAGTTGGGCGAAAGAAATAAGGAACCACCAAAATATGATGGTTATGTGAATTCTATTTATGCTAAAAACCAGATAGCTCTCAGCTCATAGAAAGAATTCTGTCCTGAGAGATCAAGTGATCCATATTCAGATTCTGACTTTTTCACTTATTAGATTTGTTGCCTTATACAAACTATGTAAATTATGTCTCCGTTTCCATAGCTAAAATTAAGGCTAAGTATGCATACTTCATATATGAAAATTGTGATAAATAAGTGAAATAATCTATATGAAGGTATTCAGCCCAGAACCTGGGAAAGAGTCCAGCACAGAGTGAGCCCTCAAATAACTTATTTGAATCTCTGGAACCTCATCAAGTTTGCCATTAAATTTCATGCTCCCTCTGCAGGCTATTGGGAGGGAGTGAATAAGCAACTCTCTTTAAGATCCTTGGGCATGACAGGTGTTTAGAAAAAGTCAGTATTATTATTGTTTACCATTTCCATTATATTTTCAACCAGTATTATTGGAATTAAGTGTTAGAAGTCCAGAGACCAAATATTACACTGGGGCTAAATTAAAATCCTACGCAGGCAAGCAAATTATGAAATACAGACCTCCAACCTGGAGATTAACATCATCTCAGACATGTAGTCACAGCCGTGAAGAATTAAAATTGATTACCAAAATATGAAGAAAAATGCCTTCTTAGGACATGCGCTTTTATGTGTACTTTCTTTGGTGACCAAATTCACACCATGTACATGTTTAGAAAAATCATTCTTTTAGCTCTGTTGGTCCCCCACATAGATCCAGGGCTAATACAGCATTCAAATTTTCTTATCTTCCTTTGTGAACGGCTTGAATAATGGGGAGATGAGATTTTCATTCAAGTAAGCTTGTCTTTTGGTTAAAAAAAATACATTGTCTCAATAAAAATTCTCCCTCTAGCCACTCTCATGGGAGGGAGTGGGGTGGGGTTGGGGGCAACAACATGTAGCCACTCTAAGGATCGACCTCCCAGAGGGAATCCCCTTGTGCCTTGAGGCCACCCTGACTTCTGCTGCAGGTACAAGTGGCTGATTGTGACTCACAAAGGCTACAAGCTTTCTGAAACAAGAGTTTAGCATAGAGCTAAGACTGTGGCTTCAGGAGAAACAGACCTGGTTTCAAATTCAGTTCTGTGACCTTGGACGAATTATCAAAGCTTTTTTTCTGAGTCTGTTTCCTTCTTTTAGAAAATGCAGAGGACAAATCCTATTTTAGAAGGGTGGTGAGAAAATTCGACAGAGATGTTAAATGTAAAGCTTTTGGCAGAGGGCCTGGCACATAGCAAGTGCCCAGTAGATGTTTGCCATTATTATTTACAGGTTGGATGTCTCATATTGGATCTGAGTCTTTTTATGGGTGTTGAGGATGAAAGGAAAGAGTGGGCAGTTGAAATCAGCAGAGGGTGCCTTTTGCGGTATTAACAACTACAAGTTCTAAAAAGGGGCTGGCCAGAGGCCTTCTAACAATGTGTAGACGGCTAGTGCAGGTAGAGCCAGAGAGAGAGATTACAGCAAAGTCTTTATGGAGGGTATATTTTATTTCTCTGGGGAAGGAAAAAAGGTCTTGCAAATGCATTCTGAAGGCTGAATCTGCATTGACTATTTTTAAAGGCATTAGTTTCTTGGACTTTTGTCTGGCCCCTGACCCTTTCTGACTCTTAGATTTCTTTCTCCAACCATTTTCCAAAATTATGTTCCTTGTTCACACATTATCCAAAGCGAAACACCCTGTAGTGTGTGTTAGTGATCGCAGATGGAGGGTGCGTATGGGAGGAAGAGCTATAACAGTCTCCGTAACGCATTAAGGAAACAATAAAGTGTATCCCCTTGCAAGGACATAATGGAGCTTGCTGAGGCTCTTTTGCATAAGCAACTGCTCCTGAGAGCCCATGTTATTCATCAACCAGCAGTTCAGCAGCCCGCCTGAGTGGGTCGAGCAACAGAACGAGGACGCCAGGAAAGGGAGTCTTAATTTTGGCTTCATCACAAACTTCCAAGGTGACCTTGAGCAAGTCTAGTAAATTCGAGTCCTATTTTATTTATCTTAGAGTAAGTAGGTTGAGGGAAAACGTAGTCACAGCTTCCCAGGCCCAAAGGAACCTCAGGGAGTCATCTTATCAACCCATTCTCCTGGTGTCATGAAAAACCATACTTGTAGCCATTTTCAGAGGTAATCCTTCTTCCTTCTTCTTCTTATCTCCCTTTTCTGTCTCTCTCCCTTCTTTCCTTTTTTTCCCCTTTTTTGTTATTTAATTTTCATGAAAGCAAGGAATTTAATTTTGCCAAGGACCTCAAACTCCAATGCCTCCAGGGGCTAGGTAGGTGAAGGCAGCTGAGTCTAACCTAGTCATGTAAACAGCTGGAGTGTTGCATGCCCTCCAAAAGGCATCCGAAAATGTTTTTAACTGTGCAGGCCAAACCAAACCCTTCTGCTTTCTAAGGCCATTTA